ATATATATATATATATGTATGTTAACGAGACGTTCCGTATACCCATATGATCTTTGTGCATACTCAAAACACCGATTCAAGCCACACTTTTATCAACTTTCTCGCTGACAGATGAAGTACAGGCCAAACAAGAAATGCATAAGGATCAACCAAAACTACACAAGCTCTCAAAAGACAAACTTATCTTGCATTGGTTGATCAATATCCGTAGTCGTAAGCGAAATCAGAGACGCCAACCATGGCGGAAAGCACTTGGGAGAAGATATAAATGCTTCCACCTAAGATGATCAGAATGAGAATCGCGGAGATTGGGCTTTTGAGCAGATCCAAGATGGGCTCAACCACGGCGTAGATGGCTCCGGTACTGACCGTCAGCGCGTAAAGAGCGTACCTTCTCACGTTGTCCCAAAACTCCTCCACCAATGGACCCTCTGGACCGAACGCCATCGCCTTCTCTGCGTCAACACTCAGAAGCAGCAACATTAACCCCATTGACAACCCACTCATCACAAAGATCCTCGAGTACCCATCTGAGGATTTCTCCAAAGTTTCATTCTTCGCAAGGATCTGCGATTTGGGTATCGGTCCAAGACCTGTTTTCGCGGCTCTGATCCTTTTGACTGAACTCTCTGAGACGCAAGAGACGGGGGTTCTGAGATACGCTGTCCTTGTGGTTGGGTTGAGGATGAAGGATTGAATTGCAGATGATTTGGCGAGGGCTTTGCACCCTGTGAGGCGCGTGTGAAGTTGCAGAGACGATATTTTCATTTTTCAAGGAAGAAGTGTCGACTGTCATCTCAACACCCTGGTTAAATCAGACTGTGTGGCTGTCGTGCTTCGTCTATTGTCTTATCTCTTATCCATACTTGTGTTGTCTTTCTTTTTTCTATTATAAAGGGTAAAACGGAAAATTGAAGTCACCGAACCCGGGAGTTTTATAGGGAAAAAAATCGACAGAAGTAAGCGGAGTTTCATCCTAAATCTAAGCATACATTGACATCTGAACAAATCCAAAGTGTTGTTTTGAAAGACATAACTATGCATCTGCGTGTGTCAAGGCTGAGCAATGCCCTTCTTCACAAGCATATCATAAACCCGGTCGACTTTGCTCGAATCGATCTTGAACAGGCTATAAGCATCCGACTTCTTGGTAACATTCCCTTTGAAGATCTCTTGCGACATGATCTGTAGCATGTGAAGATACACTGGTGGAACTAACTTGGTCTCGCAACACAGACGTTTCTCCTGCAAAAAAGAAAAAACAAAAAAACAGTTACACAACTCTCTCGACCAAATGTGTCAGTCCTCTCATAGTTCCACTCACTGATTCAGACAGCAGCTGAGACTCTGAGAAACCGATAAGGTCAAAGTCATTGACATAGCTTGATGAAGCTTGCACGCAAGGCCTAGAACCTGTATCGTTCAGATTCCCACCAAACTGCCCGCTCTCTTTCGCTCTTTCTTCAATCTCCCTTTTCCGTTTTCTCTCAAGGTACCTCTCTGCCTCTGCCGTGGAACGACACCCTGCCGCCTGTGCGTCCTGCTCCACACCCATTATGAGTCGCATCAAAATTTTTGTGCCATAAAGAGAACTGATTATCTGTTTTTTTAATTACCTTGAGATCTTTGAGCCTTTTCAACATGCGGTACTCATTCACAATTGTACGGAGCATCTCATCATGCTCCTCTTTCGAATGGAAACGCATGAAAACATCAAACCTCCGGCACAGCGCTTTCTCTTCTGGAGATAGGTCCTTCTCAAATGGATTTTGGTACAGCAGGTTTCTTTCTAGTATGAATTCCTTTCTACGTTTCCTCTCATCAAGCCTGCATACGATAAAACTCGTCTGAATCAATGAGCCCGGGGTGAAAGGATAGCTTTGTTTAATCGGAAATGCTGACCTTTTTGAATAGATACGCAGTACACGCAGCTTCAGTTCATGTTCTTCAGGAGTGTCAGTTTCTTTGAACTCCATCTCAGCCAAGAGCTGCTCAGCATCATTATCATATTCAGGGTCAAATTCTTGTCTTTTTTGGTTGTAATTACTCAATTCAACCAAAGAGTTGTTCCCCGAAGCGATGGGTTTCTTTCCTCCAAAACTCCTATCTGCCTGAGATTCTGCCCACGGAGAATGGTAAAACAATGAGTGAAAGGAGAAAACAGATAACTACAAATGCTTTTCAGTAGAAACACCAGTAAGAAGCATTGATTACGGATATTGTGACATCGCAGCTCACCTGGAAACGATGTGAAAAACATGATCACCATATGCTGAATGCAAATAAAATTTTGGATTTCCATCAATCATATATGACATAGAAGTATATAACTATGCCTGGCAATCTAAATATACTCATTAGGGTAGGCTAGAGCTATAAAATACCAGAACCGTACTAAGTGAGAAGCATGAAAAGGCTCACCGACACTTGAAGTAGAAAAACCCGGCCAAGGACTCACCTTTTGGTGTTTCTTCAACTCTGCATTAAGTTGGTGAAAATGATGAGGAAAAAAAATGGAGTTGTGTTAAACATTGTGCTTTCTACTGATGGGAATGAAAGACGTACTTGATCTTTGAGGGAGAAAACGGGTACTCTTCCTTCATGTTCGGCTCCACTGCCGCAGAAAATTTCAGACGAAAGGAACTACCATATAAGTTTAAAGAAACATACAACCAAAAACAATATCATATTTGCAACAAAGTAGCACAGACCTTTCTTGTCTTCAATCCGCCCTTTTGCCATAGCCTGGAGCTCTTTTCTGTTCTTCCCAGCTACATGTGACATGTCCTGGAAAATTAGCATGCCTCTTAGTTCAATTGATTCCCTAAGCTTTGCACTATTATAGCAGATGGAAGTGATCAGATAAGGCATACCGGAAGAGGGAAAAAAGGCGAGTTCAAATAAATGTTTCTATAATGCTCAAGGCACAATTCTTTACTCTTCGTTCCGACATGCTCAGCAACCTCTGCCCAGTTTCCCAAGCCATAAATTTCAAGTCCCTGAATTGCGATATAACAAGGAAGAATTGCCAGAAGCAAATGATCAATCGGCCCAAAAAAAAAAAATTATGCATGAATCAGTAAAAGATCACGAAAGGATAACTAGGGCACCTCAAGGAGAAGCATTTCATCATCCGCACTCCAGTCAGGACATATAAGCGGGAATGTTAAGTTCCCCTGAAAAACAAATGACAACAGTCAGCTGATTCCAAAAAATACAGGAAAATTGTCACTTTCTTGCAAAATCAGGCTTCCTGTAAGCTAAATGGCATGAAAACACGAACCATAACTCGGTATGGGTGGTCGCTTTTGTGTGGCGTAACCTCTGCTCCAACAGACATACATTCTACACAGAGATCAAAATCAGGACACACAGCACACTTTATCCTGATCCTTCCTGTAATGTCTTTCTGGCAGTAGTCACAGTTGTATTTTCCACCTCCCTCAGTACCTTGAACTGCCTCCACAAAAGAAAAACAAAGTAACAGAGGGACATGACGACGACCCAACAAGAGAGCAAAAGGGCTTAACGAGAAGTATACCCGTCGATGTAGATTCAAAGTTCTCCACATTCGCTGCATTTTTCTTCTTCCTCGTTCTGTATGAAAGCCACAAAAAGCTTAGCTTTCACAATTATGCTAAAGGCAGTAAGAGGGTATTGACGCAGATGAACAGATGGGAACCATAGCCGGTGAAAGCTTAATTTGAAGTGGTATCCCTAGAGCCAGCTCGAATTACAAACAATGCAGATCCAAAAGAACATTACAATTCAGTCAATTTCACGGTGTAGCCAAGCTAGAAATCCACACGACCCATGTTGATTGGAGAATACATCAACAAATAACGAAAGATAAACTGACAAACCCGGGAAATGAATGATAAAAGGATCAAACCTCTGCGTAGGGTCTTCGTAATTGTGGAAGTTGCCGCGAGAGCGACCCATCGATGCTGACAAAAACCCAAGTCGGATTAAAGGAGCCCCAGTGGCGTGGAGAAAGAGAGAGCTCCAATTCCCCGAAAGCAAGGATGAACCCTAACCCCAGAGATGAAAAGCCAGCAGCGGAGATTCATCCAGAACGCCGACTAGTTGAAGAAGAAAACCATGAAATTGTAGGGAGAAGGGCTTCGCTAAGACAATAATAGAAGTCGATCCAATTGAAAATCTTTGAAACTCAAGAAGTTCGACGTTAAAGGGAACTAACGATCGTGCCCCAACTTCCGACCTAGACTTTGCTTACGAGTGTTGCGTTAAATGAGATGTTGAATTAGGTGTGGGCATTTCGATATTGCATTCAGGTTCGGATCGGTAATAGTTATATTTGGTTCTTCCGGTTTTAAAAAATTGGATATCAATTTGGTGGTTATATTATATTTGGTTTGGTCGGACAGGTTTTAATTTTGATTCATTTCGGTTCCGTTTCTAGATCTTAAAAAAAAAACAATTTTTTGTTTGATTCTAATCTAAAAAATTTGGATTTTTTAAAATTAATGTTGTTCAAAATTTTGAACGTTTCAAATAAAAAAATTGTCCGTATTTTTCGGTTCGATTCTTATATTGCCAACTGCCAGTGCCAGTGTATAAAATATAAAGAGGATATCCCATCTCGTGAGAAAGAAGAAGAATTTGTAGGATTATAAGTGAATAGAAAAAAAATGATATCTTTATCATATTATCATTCATTATGATTACATATGCGGGCCGAAGAGAGACGAAAACTTCATGAGAAGCAAAACGAAAGCCCAATCAATCTGGACATGCTTCCTCAAGTGATGGGCTTGGACTCATCTTAGGCCCAATCAAATTAAAGAAATCGCAGAAAATTCTTAATTAAATGGGAGAGAGTTGGTGTGTTGTCTTTGGTTAACATCCCTGGTCCCTTCTCCGATGGGAGCGTGCTAGGGGTGACCAATTCGGGTTCCGGTTCGGTTCGGTTATATTCGGGTTCGGTTATTTCGGTTTTAGAAAAACTATAATCATTCGGTTTTTATATAAATTCTGGTTCGGTTCGGTTCGGTTATTTTTCAATTCGGGTTCGGTTCGGTTTTGGTAAAAAGTTTAATTTTTCAAAGAAAATGTCGGTTATTCTCTCGGTTTTTTCGGTTATTTTTTATTCGGTTCGGTTCTGTTTCGATTTCGGTTTTTCGGGTTTAAAGAAATCATAACCGTTCGGTTTTGATATCGGGTTCGGTTCAGGTACGGTTATATCTTATTCGGTTCGATTCGACTCGATTATTCGGTTAATAACCGAAATGGCCACCCCTAGAGCGTGCAATTACGGCCGTGATGGAGAAAAGAGAGTGGAAGGAGAACAAAAGAAGACAAGAAGAAAAGAACAAAGCCTTGAATCCTAACACAAATGCCCATTTTCAGACACGCTTTGCTGCTTAACACAACGACAATGGCACGATGATATATGCACATCAAGATACAGAGAGACAAGACGACGCCCAGATTGAAACTATTATCTTATTGTCAACAACGCAAAAGGCTCACACCAAAGCTTCACCAGCTTTGACGGCCTTTGCTGCCACCGTACAAGCGGAACAGGCTGAAAGCCGAAATGCAAGAGACCATGACCATTCCAATCGCAGCAAACAAGGCGCTCCCTATTCCTTCCCCTACCTGGTTGCAGAACTTTCCGTACATGTTGCATATCTTCATCCACTGAAGCTCACTCTCTCCCAACTTGGCAAATGCCGCCGACTGTGCTGCCGCTGCTATGGCCGCAACGCACAAGTATGCTATGGCCTGCTCATTTTATATTCAAGGATTGCAGGTCAAAACCCTTCACATGATTCACTCTACTCATGAAGATATTACAAGATGCAATGAACTGCCAAAAAGAAGAGGAAGCCCAACTTTTTAAGGTTTTCACTTTGCAGTTGGGTCCATCTGATTCTAGGGTTGGCATTTAAGAACCCCCACCCTCGAGGACTTGTCAATGCATTACCATAATTACACTCAACAACCAAGAACGAGGTAAATCTAGACAAACGATGGGCTTTTCCCCTAATCCATTTGTGCATGAGATATGAATCATGTCAGAAATGGAAGAGAGAGAGAGAGAGAGAGAGGGACCTGATCACCGGAGAAAATGGCCCAGGCAAGGGGTTTACTGAACAAGACGCTTCCTTTCACCATACCCACCGCACATCGAATCACCTGCACCAGAGAATACGCAGCGGCTACGCCATTCGCGCTCACCAAGAACCTGTTTTCCCCACCGACATTAACTCCCCGTTAAAAAAGCCTCCGTATTTTCAGCCAAAAAACAGACAGGAAGTCCGAATTCTTACACAAGGGCTTTCATGTCGGTGAACCTCGCCTTCTTCTGGATTGTGAAGATTTCCTTGACCTGGGTGTCCGTCCCAACGAGTAGGGCCGCGACGAGACCGAGGCCACACACCGAACACCTCAGAATCAGCTCAGTCAGCTTCACTCTTCGATCGATCGATTTCATATTGGCGCCGTGGTAAACGGGACTGATTCCGACACCCAAGTAACTCATCTTTAGCCCCCAAAGACGCTGTTTTTGGCTTTGCTTTGGCCGATGACCCTAGGCCCGCTTAAATAGGCCACAAAACACGCTTCCTTTCCTCTCTTTTCATTTCTTCCTAATATTTATTTTATATTTTATATCTATATTTATTAATTGCTGATGGGGCGACATTACCTATCAGATTTTGTGTTTTCTATTTTAAAATAGATGGAAGAAAAAAGACTGAGCTTTGTGATGGAAGGTCGCATCGCATGCCATCCACTCACTCACCATACAATTCTTAATCTATTTATCCTTTCTTATTTATCAGAGGAAGATGATGGAAAACTGGGGAAACGTGGAGATGGAGATTGGCCGAGAAGGTGCCAGGTGGCGGTGAAAGGTGAACGAGGGAAAAGGGTGCTTTGGAGTGCGACTAGTAATTTTTTTTTTTTTTGAATTGTTAAGGCCATTAATGAATGCGCACATTTATAAGTGCAAAATCCAAAAGAGAATGCATGTCCCGATGCCCCGGTTAAATGAAATTTTGGAACAGCGGTCTTCAATGAACACCCATTTATTGCGCACCCATCACCCAAATCTGTCCTATTTCCGCCTTCCGCATTTTGCTTTGTTCACATATATATATATAATCAGCTCTTATGCTCGCATCTTCTCCGTTGGAAAAAGAGGGCATTTTCGTAATTAAAACGAGAGCAGAATTGACATTTAGGTGGCCCATTTGTGCGGTTGGTGAAAAGCCCTTTTCTTTTTGTTCAAAGAAAAGAGTTTGTGCCGCTTCTTCTTCTCATGAGTACTTGGAGCACCAGAAGCTTTTTTTTTTATATATATATATAATTGAATGTTTTGAACCAAGATCCATGTTAATCTTTCATGCCATAATTTAATATTTTTGTTATTTTGATTGCAAATCAATGGAACAGCTTTTATAGATCTTCCTCTTTTAATAAAATGGATCATTTTTGCTGCTGTGGATGATGGGGTGGGTTAATGTGTATGTGTGTGTTGGGATGCGTAGAAATTGATAGCTAAGATTCCCTTCCATTAAACACAAACTGTGATAATAAAAAAAAAAGGCTCCACATTTGGCCTCACCATACTCGCACAGCTGCTTTCATACCTCCCCCCCTCTTTCAATTATATTTATTTTTTATATTTTTTAATATTTCGTGCGTGTACACGCCGATGCGGTGCACATACACGAGTGATTCAATAAAATTTGACAACACTTGAATCGACGATGAGCAGACCATGCTTCTAGGTTCCACATTTCCCTTTACCTTGTTATTTTTTTTTATAATCCAAAAATTCGTCAGGCCTTTGATTCAATTCTATTTTTCACTAGATTCAGAAAACCCATATGAATACCTCTCTTTAAATGGAGATTCGTACTTTAAATAAAAAAAAGTTTGATTCTCTTCTTTATAACCACTCAATCTTAGATATCTTATTGACTTTTTTGTATATAGTGTACATATCTTTGTATTATATTCAGTATATATATACATGGACGGACCCATTCATAAGAGAATAAGAGAATGGGGTTCAATGTCCCCATTCTAAAATTAAAAAAAATATAATTCCTATACAAATTTTATAAAATTTTTATTAATGACATTAAATGCGCCCATATTAAAATGAAGTTTATTCTTATTATGCCTCCAATCATATATATTTCTAGATCCACCACGGCTTCATATCAATATATTAAGATTAAATTTTGTGGATAAGAACTTTCTAGATACGTAATGTGATGGAAGCATGAATGCATATTCAATATATAGATATGTTATCCCGACCAAGAGGACATGGTTCTCCAGATGGATCACGAAGTTACTGTCGCAACGCGTGAAGAAAAGTAACCTCCTCGATATCTATAAACTTAATTTTATGTGTGTTTGGTCGTCTATGTTCCATCCATTTTATTTTAGTTTTTGTTATAACTTCCTTACCTCATATATACGAGCACAATTTTATTCCTATAAATAAGCCCATTCATTATATAGTTCGCAAGGAGTCTTGTCATACAACTGTTATGCCTTTAGTTCCATTGCCATTTGTCATTTGATATAGTTTTGTATGCACAAAGTGTTTGGACTTGTGAATTTTTCCTACATTTTCTTCCTCTTTATAAAATCTACTAATCCAGATTTGGATAGTTCAACCGATGAAACGCGGTGCAAAACGTCTGTCCCACTCCGAATTCGAATCTCAAGTTTGGAGAAAGAACGTATATTTCAAATCATCTGGCTGATTTCTGACCCCGACTCCGAGATTAACTGGGTCCTGGCCTAAAATATTCGATTATCCAGAAAAAAACTACTAGTATGTGAATCTATAGGCACAAAACAAAAATATGGTGGAAGATTAGATTGGGTTTTTAAGTGTGTATATATTGGACTATCTGAAGCTACATAACAGAAAAAACGTAGTACGTGTAATGCCAAGATTTGGCCCATAATTTTTCTTTCACTTGTTTTATTATTTTTTTTCTGGTTGCTCGATGTATTTTGATTTTTTTTTCCTCAGTGAACCCACAATTAGCTGATTAATACATTAAAAAACATTACCCTCACTATATTTATAGATGTCATCAGTGTTGAGTTAAATAGATTAAGCTAACCCAATTAACCCTCACAACATAACTATGGTTCTGGTGTTGAGTGGATGTCAAGTTGGAGGCTTTGGCATGTTCATTTGAGGGTACGTTCCTGTGATTATTGTTTCAGAACCTGAAGCTTAGCGACGATGGTTCGATGTCGACTCCGGACATGGAGTCCAACGTCCGTCTTCATGTGCCATTCCTATCATGGATGCTTTGTAACAAGTGTTGAGTGGTGGTGGCAACCAGGAGCCTGAATCTGATCATTCTTGATTCTTCTCCTACCCAGGTGGCAGGTGGCATGAAATGATTTAACTTGCAAAATTCATTCATCACATCTTTTTTAGGCGAAGGCGAACTAATTATATATTACATCAACATTTTACTATCGTTTTTTTTTAAAAAAAAGGTTGGTTAATTATGATGTTATTTAATCAAATATTAGATTAATGCAATAGAATAACAGCAAGATCAAAATCGGATTACATTGATTCCGAGAGCTTGGGAGTGTGTGAATAAATTCGTGAAACGGCGAGGGGGCATCGAGAGAGAGAGAGAGAGAGAGAAGCGTTGGTCGACTCGTCACCGCCCCTCCATTGTCCTGTTTGATGGTCGTCGACCCTTCAACTCCGTCTCTCCTTCTTCTCTCAGGTTCGCATTGTATCGCCGGTGTTCCTTCCCCTTCTCAATTCCAAAATCACGATCATGGATATATATTATCTCGTCTCCTGAAACCGATATGATTTCATCATTGCATCTACACTCTTCGGAATTAGGGTTCTTCGCGTGTTTACCAAGTTGTCTGAGCCTAGGCTTTGTTATTCGATGGATCACGCACATAGCGTAGTTCGGGGGGGTTCTCTCTAGTAATACACCAAAAAAATGTAATGATATTCAAAATTATACAATCTCATTCCCTTGCAAAATGAATGCGATTGTTGAAACACGACTTGTTAAAGATTAAAGTTAATTTTACCAAAAAAAAAAAGTTAATTTCACAACTCATTATACAGATTTCTGTTATTTTGGCAAATTCTTATAATTTTTTTTCCTTCTGGTATGGCGCTGCATTCTTTTTTTTTTTGGGATATATCCACGCAATTCACCCTAACAAAACAAACTGATACAAGGTATTTTATTTCCGGGGGGTGCGATTAAATTCGTGAAATTGGAGTGAAACGGGGAAATTTCGAAGCAAGGGGGAAGCTTTGGTCGATTCGTCACCTCAGTTATCCTGTTTGATCGTCGACGCTTCAACTCCGTCTCTTTCTGCTCTCAGGTCAGTTGTCGGATCTCTTTCGCATTGTTTCGTCGGTCTTCCTTTCCTTCTCAATCCCAATTACGACGGGTTCCTCTTCAAGCTTGGATTAGGGGATTCGATTGGATCATTGCATTGAGGAGGTTAATTGCGATTTGATTGTTGCATAAACCTTAAAAAGCCCTATTCCCCCTTTTCTCTCTCAATTCGTCGTTCGGCTGTGCCGAAAAGGGTATAAATTTTAACCTCAATTTATCCGTCCGCAGAAAAAAGCAGGGAACTTTGAAGCCAGAGCAGCGGATATGGGTAACGTGAACGGGAGAGAAGACGGTAGCAATACCCTGTCCGCGGTTGAAGACGACGACGCTGAGAATAGCTCGCGTGAAGCCATGGCTGTTTCCGACGGCACCCATGTCTCAATGGGTCACTCCCCTCCTCATAGCCCCCGAGCTACCCAGTCCCCTCTCATGTTCGCGCCTCAGGTTTGTCCCCTTCTGAGTCCCACTATTAGATGAAACCATCGCCAATCGGCCATGAATCGAGTTGGATCTAATTGGGATCTTAGGTGTTAGCAACTATTGTTCTTTGTAGAAATACTTATGTTATTGTGCTGAAGTTGTCGCCCTTAGGTTCCTGTGCTTCCGCTGCAAAGGCCAGATGAAATTCACATTCCGAATCCTTCGTGGATGCAACCGGCCTCTTCTATCTATGAAGAGAGCTGCAATGAGCAAGGGATCCCCACAATGATCACATGGTGCCATGGGGGAAAAGAAATTGCGGTCGAGGGGTCATGGGACAACTGGAAGACGAGGTTTTGCTCAAACTTATTTGGTTCCCGTTCTTTGGGACATTGTTTTATAGTTGCCCTTCAAGTCTCATATTACACCTGCATTTCTTGTCCATCAGGATTCACTTGCAGAGATCAGGGAAAGACTTTACAATAATGAAAGTCCTGCCGTCAGGTGTTTACGAGTACAGGTTTATTGTGGATGGACAGTGCAGGCATGCCCCTGAACTGCCATCTGCCCGTGACGATGCCGGAAACACTTACAACATTTTGGACCTGCAGGTAAAGCTTTTAATGCCTGATGTGGCAGATTGAGGAGTTTTACCTCTGTTTGAGAGTTGTTGTTCCTACTTCAATGTAAGCAGGAGTACGTGCCAGAAGACATAGAGAGCATATCAGGGTTTGAACCACCAGAGTCGCCGGAATCAAGCTACAAGAACCTGCTGCTCGGAGGAGAGGATTACGCCAAGGAGCCGCCAGTGGTGCCTCCGCACCTACAGATGACGGTGCTGAACTTACAAGCGCCACCGCTGCCGAGGCCTCAGCATGTTATCCTCAACCATATTTATATGCAGAAGGGGAGAAGTGGCCCTTCCTCCGTCGTGGCCCTTGCCTCCACCCACCGCTTTCTTTCCAAATACGTTACTGTCGTTCTCTACAAGTCCCTCCCAAGGTGAGAGGAGGAGAAAGCCCAAGTCATTTCCTTTTTTAACCGAACCTTTTCACCCCCTTGTTGTTGCTGTTGTTTTTCACGCTCTTTGATAATAAGGTTTTGCCCCATGCTCCATTTTGCCACTCGTGTCTGTTATCTCATTCTTGATTCTTCTCCTACCCAGGTGGCAGGTGGCATGAAATGATTTAACTTGCAAAATTCATTCATCACATCTTTTTTAGGCGAAGGCGAACTAATTATATATTACATCAACATTTTACTATCGTTTTTTTTTAAAAAAAAGGTTGGTTAATTATGATGTTATTTAATCAAATATTAGATTAATGCAATAGAATAACAGCAAGATCAAAATCGGATTACATTGATTCCGAGAGCTTGGGAGTGTGTGAATAAATTCGTGAAACGGCGAGGGGGCATCGAGAGAGAGAGAGAGAGAGAGAAGCGTTGGTCGACTCGTCACCGCCCCTCCATTGTCCTGTTTGATGGTCGTCGACCCTTCAACTCCGTCTCTCCTTCTTCTCTCAGGTTCGCATTGTATCGCCGGTGTTCCTTCCCCTTCTCAATTCCAAAATCACGATCATGGATATATATTATCTCGTCTCCTGAAACCGATATGATTTCATCATTGCATCTACACTCTTCGGAATTAGGGTTCTTCGCGTGTTTACCAAGTTGTCTGAGCCTAGGCTTTGTTATTCGATGGATCACGCACATAGCGTAGTTCGTTGTGGATTTTGGATATTCGTCAGAATTCTTCTCTCATCACGTGTGCTCTGCGTATTGGGACAGCCATAGCTTCTGCGTTCCATTCGCACGTTTTTTTTTTCAAATCGTATGGGTCACCACTGAAAAAGATGATCAAAGTGATGCTTGGATCTTTTCTTTCTCCCGCATTCATAATCTGGAGTGTTTAAAAGCTTTTAACGATTTCCCCATTAATCTCAGTCCCCACAACTGATGTTCTATTCTATTCTCTCTTTTTTCCTTTCATACTCTACTTCAGTTTTACATGTTTAGTTTTAGATAGTGTAATAGATGAAGAGCAAACGATTTGAAGAGGCTTTCCAAGTAAGATGGAGATTGATGATGAAAAGCAGGGACAGTTAAGGTGTACACTGGGGGATTCCCCACAGCAATATAATGGAAGAGCCGAAAGAGATGGAAAGGGTGAGGAAGAATCAAGAGAGGGAAAGGAGGCGTCTCCGAGACAGAGAAAGGAGACAGTCAATGAGCCAGGAGGAGAGAGAGAGGCATTTGGCCAGACGCCGCAGGAACTATCAGCTCAGACGGCAGAGAGCTGAGATCGCTCGCCTGGACTCCCAGATCCAATTGTTTGCCGGTAACCATGAAACCCCACTCACCTCTTCCCCTGATTCCGACCGTAACCAAAGTGAGTCTCTCAAGTCCACATCTTTAATTGATAGATAAGCTACAGCCCACATGTCCAATGACTTGGGTGTTAATTAATTAGGTCTGGACATTCCATTGCATGAACTGGCTAAACTGACTGGATCAATACGTTTGACTCGTCTAAAACATGTTGCGCGGGCATTGTGCAATTCAAGTTCTAACCTGAGCATTGCGTGTAATAGAACATCTGATATGACAGCCAAGACTAGATGTAAGTTCATTGCTCTACTTTCTTTGGTTGACAACGAGAGCCGCCTATGCATTTATATGTACATATATTTTCAGGTGCAATGTCGAGCGGTTTGCGTCTAACTCGCTTCAAATGGCTTGCGAGATCATGTCGTTCTTCCAACACAAGTAGCCAAGGTTTGGAGGTCCTCACCCAAATGCGAGGTACGCACGCGTGGTGGATGCAGGGCCGTTTTTCAAGACTCTTTATGGTTTTGATATCTAACCCAGTATTCCCAGGATAAACTAAAGATATATAATCCCCAAGTACATATTTAGAAGGCAGGAATTCCCCCCATTCTTGACTGCTCTTGTTTAGAGATTCATGACCCATATTATCGCGACATTTAGCTCCAAATATAAAAACGGGTCTATATAGAATATAATATAGGTGACGGAGAGATGTGGAAGTTATGTAAAACTTCATTAACTGATAAGCTTTGGTATATATAGATGGAGAAGCCAATGTACAACCTTGAAGAGAGGGAGAAGGCTCTTACGCAGGTGAATAACTCATAACTGTTCCTTCATTACAGTAAGTCTTCTTTGTTTTACGCACATATGAAACTTTCATGGTCAGTTGTCTTTTTTGTTTTTGTTGGTACGAGCAGCAGATCACACAGAGAAGAGGGAGGTATCTTAACACATTTTAGATATTAGCTTTTTTTCTTTGTTAATTGGTGGAAAGATGGAAACCAGTGGGGCATTTTGTGTCATAATTGTCACAGGTTCGTTTTGAGGAATGCATTTAACAAAAAAAATTTCTTCCCACCAATCAGTGGGTGAAAAACCCTTATAATTTTCTATTTTCTACGGATGTGATCATATGAGTAGAATGATAATATAATCATATGGTGGTCAAATTGGTCATAATGTTAAATTTATAGTGTTTACACTAAATCATCATGATCCCAATTTGTATATCACACTAGTTATTTCATAAAATTATTATAAATTTAATGTTATGATCATTATGATTACGAAATGATCATACAGTTGTTTTGATCACACAGTCATATTTGGAGAAAAATATATATAGAAATACTTTTAACAAAATGAGGTTATTTTAAAAATTGACCTGTTCATATATACATATATACTAGAAAAAAGAGTTTTAAAAACAATGTTACATATATACCTGTTACACACAAACGTGTATTTATGTATATATATTCTATCGTGCAGCGCTGTACAACCGTTGTTCAATCCAAAGCTTAAAAGGTGAAGAGCCAACACTTTTTAAGTAAGGGCTTTCAGTTTTAGCATAAGAATGCATCACCTCGTAGATATTGGCAAGGGTCTACAAGTAACAAGGTCCCAAACCAAGTAAAGAAAATATGGATATAAAGAATCAATCCCCAACAACGACATGTAAAAGAGTAGAGGGAGAGTGGAGGAGAGAACGAGTGGTGTAAATGAGGCCTTGTCCGGAGAGGTAATGACGGCGGCAAACAGGCATGTATACATCGGCACCTCCTATCACTTGTGTCTCTGTCTCTTGTGTCTTCCTCAGTGTGAAGTGAGCTCTCTCCCCACACACTTCACACCTTGCTGTCAGCTTTGTCACGGTGTCTGCCAGCGGTATTATCTCCAGCACCGACCCGAAGCTCCTCCTTTCAACACCCAATTATTCATACACTCAGATAGTCCCCATCCTTTTTATCATGGAATAAAAGAGAGAAACATACCTCAGATAATCTCCATCCAGTCCAGCTACTACCACTGTTTTCCCATCATTATCAGCTGCCTCACGGCAGAACTCATAGAGGTCCCCAAAGAATTGAGCTTCATCAATTCCAATCACATCAAGCTGTCACCCAATCAAAGCTTTCATCACCACCCTTTTTCAAGGGCATATTCAACCCCCTACTTAAGTTAAGTACTACTTGTACCTCATCATATGCATCCAACCCAAACTTCTGCCTGAACGACGACAAATTCGCCAGTGCCCAGCATGGCATTTTCTCTCCATTGTGAGTCACTATTGATTCCTTAGCATACCTTGTATCTTTATCTGATTTTATGACTGCAATTCTTCTGCATGAAAAAAAAAAGATATGGACAGAATTACATTTCAACCCATGTTCAGACAAGAGTACAAGTTCAAAAGCCACAAAAACTCTTACTATAGTTCATTCAGCTACATGCACGTCACGATAGTCACATGTTCAAATGCAGGCTAAGAGAGCTTAAGCAGGGAGACAGCAGACCATTTATCAAAGAATAAACTAAGCATTTTAGCCATATGTTAGATCATAATCGTAGCCAGCATTCATTAACACCATGGTGATCTCTCGAGTCATCCTGTGTATCTGCTTGGACAGTTTGTGAGATTTATCACCCTTTAAGAAGCTATGGACTTCCCCTTGAACTTCAATCCGGCTATAACCAGGCTCCTTTTTCACTCCTGAACTCTTCATACTCCTCCTAACCTCAGCCACAGCATCCCACAACCCAAAACTTGCATATGCATTAGCCAGTACAATGTATTTCCCAGCGTTCTCTGGTTCCAACTCAAAATATTTTTTGGCTGCAAGCTGTAACAGCTCCACATTCCCATGAATCTGGCATGCCCCTAGTAAAGAACCCCACAATGGAGAATGTTCCTTGCACGGTGCGTTCAAAACAAACTCATATGCTTCCTGTAACCTGCCAGCACGACCTAACATATCAACTATAGCTGCATAATGTTTCCCATTAGGTTTTATCCCATAATCACTATTCATTGACTTGAAATGTTCCCAACCTTCATCGACTAAACCTCCATGGCTACACGCACTGAGAACTGCCAAAAATGTTATGTAATTTGGTCTAACGCCTTCTTCTTTCATCTTATTAAAGCATTCCAACACCTCCATAACGTTTCCATGATACCCATAACCAGATATCAACGATGTCCAAGTAATCACGTTTCTAACTGACAATTGGTTGAATAGTTTTTGCCCGTCAGAAAGACTACAGCATTTGAAATACATATCGACAAGGGCACTATCAACTACAACATTCTCCTTAACATGGCTCTTTATCATAACACCATGGGCTCTCACCCCATGTTCCAGCCAGGCCAACCCAGCACAGGCACTGAACACTGAAGCAAAGGTAAACTGGTCCGGTAGTATTCCACAGTGCCTCATCTGGTAATACAAATAAAGCCCCACTTCTTCCAGACCCTTTTGCACATACCCAGAAATCATCGCATTCCAAGGGATCACATCCCTCTGTTGCAAGCTGCAAAAAAGGTCCTGAGCAATTTCAAGACTCCCCGATTTGGCATACAATATCAACAATTTGGTTTTCAGATACTCGTTGAGGGAATATCCCAGGATAACCATCTGAGCATGAATTCTTCTGCCTTGCTCATATTCCTTCCTGTGTATGCATTCTTGCAACAGTAGACTATAAGTCTGCAACCTGACTTTTGACCCACTACGCCATAGCAGCCCAACAGCTTCATTCAATCTCCCCGTAATACATAGACCCCTCAATGTCTTATCCAAATGGACTTTATCTGTGTGATGCTCCACCTGAAAGCTGGAACATCTTACCCGTGAACCGCATTTCGATCAAGCTTTAGAACCTCTGGACCATTCGAATTCATTAACTCCAGACAAAAGGAAAGAGCAGACAAATGAACAAAGCACGATCGGTCATGTTTTCAAAGGCACGGAGACATCAACACGACAAAAAGTTCAATGTTTCGGCTATCAAGTACGCGAAGCAATGGAATGGATGTTGCAACTAACAAGCAAAAATCATCCATGGGACATCAAGTAATAAAAAATTCCACATCACATAGATCTCGAAATTGGGAAGGCAAGTGTGCGACAAAAACCTGCCATTATTCCTCTCTGATAGCATCCGGCGGAGAAGCGTCGTGGTTTTCCCGGAAAACATAGGACCAACAACAACGTGAATCTCACCGGAAGAAGGTAAGGACGACGAGTTGGATACCTCCGTCTGCAGTTCTCGTCTGGAAACTGCCATAAAAGAGGACCGGTCGAGACTCTTCACAGCAAACCCCAAATTGCCCAGAGGACGGGATTCGCAGAGACCGGACTTTGAAGCCACGGAGAGGAGAGCAAAAGATTGGGCTTTGGGAATATGAAGAGATGGAGGAATTAATGCTTTCATCGAAACGATTAACATTTTCTGCGCTGATTTCAATGAAGCAACGATGAAATTTCTTCTATATTTCGATTGTCAGCTGGAGACTTCTGCCATGGCTTCTCGAATTTAGGGTTCAATCGGAGGTTTTAGCTTAAGTTTGTTCTTATAATCCCGCTTCAGACCTCCTAACGTGTTCATAATGATCCCGCATCTAAGTCAAGATGGCCGAGTTGGTCTAAGGCGCCAGTTTCAGGTACTGGTCCGAAAGGGCATGGGTTCGAATCCCATTCTTGACAGCTACTTTTCGTTTTTCCCGCTTTGTTTCTTACCCCCCAAGGCCCCAACTACTTGGTAAAAAGAGGAACATTAAAAATATAATAATATTATTACTAACTCGCAAATATTTTAAATTTCTTACAGAAATACGAAAAAAATTAATGTGTGTGTAAAAAAGATCCACAAATATTTTAGCACCATACAATCATTTCTCTATTCATGGAACAAAGGAGTAGAGTTTGTGAATTAAATGACAAACTTTGGAATTCGAGTGTTAACAGCAATATGACAAATTGATATGCCTTTTTTTTCTGGAAAGGGAATTCTAACCAAATGGGTAATTTTTCATATATGATCAAGAAAGAATATGTAAAAGAACAATTAACCGAGGGAGCTCCAATACGAAATGGGCCCCCAATCTTCTATTAGGGCCGATACGACTCGGCAGTGAAATACAAACCACGTGTCATTTCTTCGTAGGTAGGACGGCATGGAGGCTGCAGCGGCGGAGCTGGAGACCCTCCAATTTCAAATCCTTCGTCGGATTTCGGATCTCGGATCCAAATCGCTGATACGAAGAAGCCATGGGTGGCCACGGTGGTCTGAACATTCTTCCGCAGAAGCGCTGGAACGTTTACAACTATGACAACCGAGACTCTCCGCCATCCTGCGCTCCAACGGCGTCAACCACTTCTTCTTCAAGAGAGTTGCTTCTGATTACTATGACTGGCCCCTTGAATCACGCCGTCACGCTCTCGGTGCCGCCTCTGTCGACCATCTCTGCAAGAGCATCGTTCTGGTACTTTCATTTCTCCCTTGGCGTTCTCTACGTTCGCTTGACTGTTATTCTTGGTTCCTTTTCCCAACTTTGGTTTGATCCTTTGCATTTGAGTTTTGTGAATTCTGGTTGGCGTGTGAATTGTGAACTATATAGTGATTGAAAATGCTGATGAATAGGCTTAATGCCGAACAAAAAATAATTCATGCAATTGCTCTGTTAGATGATCAAATTAGCTATTTTTTTACGAAAACACTATAAGATTAACAAGCTCCCCGTCGCTGTGTTGGGCGGCTGTTTTTTTTTTTTTGGGTAAAGGTTGTATTTGTTAATATGAACAAAAACTTTTACATCAGAAGTTAGAATCCCCAAGAGGGTATTTGGTTAATGGAAGGCTAAATACTCAAAAAAAAACATAGGCTATAGGCAGTTTAGTAAGACCGAAAGGCAACCTGAAGAAACAGATCAAGAACTACAATTTCATGGAGTTGATAACCATATTTGAAGGAGAGAGCTCTCAATCTCCGGTTTGGATAATCGCATATCAGCCATCTTGTTTCTAAATGCTCGGTCTATATCTGAAGATTTCCAGTTCGTTTCATTTCTCATCAAATGTTGCTACACAGGTTAATACCCAGGCTCCATCAAATATTGTAGATTGCAGTGATCGTAACAACTCAAAGTATTACGTCGTCGTGGTTCAGGTGCTCAGATGGTTCCTTCCTGCACGGTCTTCTGCCTGTCATGGTGCTTAAACTGTGTTTGCCTGACTGACCAATCATATTTCTCTTTCCCCAGTATACTGCCAGGTTCAATGCTGAAGCGGTGAAAAACTTTTTGTATTCGCTGAATGAGGGCAGGATCCCGAAGAAAAGATTTAATCGTCAGTGGCCTTTGGAGTTTGGATGATCTTTTGCTAACTTCAAAGGTTTTCTCATTCATCATTCCCCTGGTGTACTGTTTGTATCTGATGAGGCTTGTGCTAATCTCTGTGCAGTGAGACTTGCTCCTGAGGAAACATCGGTCAACTTGACTGGGTATGAGCACAATGCAGTGACCTGTATAGGCATGAAGACAGATATCCCGGTAAGTTTTTTTCCCTCCATGCCATCGTTTTGGTGATTAGGTTACCTTCTTTGATTGAGATGGCCATTTCTGAGTATTTTGAGCATTAAATTTCATGATGATCACCTGTTTGTGCTTGTTCATTGTTAGAAAATTAGACATTGTTCCATCTCATGACCCATGAGGTGTAAAAATTGAGTAATACGTTGGATTCCGAGAGAAACTTCTACCCCCCACTTATGTGCTCTTCCCCAAGACAAAACGTGTTCTGCTTTTGTTCGAGTACCCGTTGCAGGTGAAACTGTGGTTGTAGGTGTGTAAACAGTGGCATTGGCAACTGATGTTTGTCTGATTGAAATGTAAGGTGATATTGGACGAGGCCATAGTGAGACTGAGACCGGACTATTTCTGGTTGGGCGGTGGGGAGGTGGATCTGAAGCTTGGTGTCAGGACATCTGAATTCCTTGACTTTGTGAAACCGTTCATTGTTCGTTGCAGCTGAAACTGGAAATTCGTTTTGACTTATGGATCCACATATTGATTATTTCCAAGCATCCACATTTTATTTGGGGGATAGTTTAGGAGTAAAGTGAAACAAAAACAACACTACAAAATTACCGGAAATTACACGTTTGTTTGTGTAAATAATATATGATCTGTAAAACTGTCACCGTTTCTGGAATTAGGTTAAATTGTATATTATGGGTATCCAATAAAACAATTATTTACCAATGATTACTCAATTAACCATATGTTTAACTAGACTAATCTTTTGAACAAGTATAGTGAGTGTGTAAATACATATATTATCTTGAAATTACATGCTACAACACTCGACAGTTGTCATTTCTTAAAAGGAGAATTGAGAAAAAAAAATTAAAATTAGCTTGGATTTTTTTAAAAATCTAATTCCACGAGAGTATTAATAATATTAACAATACATCGCAGTTAATAATTAATGGTATAATATAGGATTGTATGTTACTGTTTTTTGCAAGCTACAAATGATTGAAGTTGACCCACAAAGTTCATGGGGCAGCAGTAACTAAAAAACACACTTATGCCATAAGTGTAACGATGGAGAACTTTAAATATTTGATGCGTAGAAGTAATACATATAACGAATTGGAAGGCGTGGCCCATTATCGTAACCGTATTTAGGGTTAGAAATAAAACCAAAAGAAGTGGAATAAATCTCTCCGAATTCAAATCAAACGGCGTCGTACTCGAAGTCAGCCCATACGAAGTTAGGGCCCACTTATCTCTTCCCCTTTTTAGGCCCAATTGACCATTTATTAAAGGCCTAATAGGGTAGGAATCGTTGTCTTGTCGGCCAGCCGGATATCTGAATCACAAGATCAATCAATTGGAAACCCTAATTCGAGTGCAACGAGCAGGCACGATCCAAATCGCTGATACGAAGAAGCCATGGGTGGCCACGGTGGTCTGAACATTCTTCCGCAGAAGCGCTGGAACGTTTACAACTATGACAACCGAGAGAAAGTTCGCAAGGATGAGGAGGCCGCCGCTCGGGAGGAGCATCTTAAGCGGGATCAAGCCAGGAAGCGGGACGCAGAGCTCCGTCTCGACCGCCTCCGCACCGTCCGTGGCTTGGCTCCTTTGAAGCGACCTTTTCCGGAGGCGCAGAACGGGGAGGAGGAGGAGGAGGAGGAGGAAAAGGCGTCCGCTGAGCCGGTGGAATCAGAACCCAAGACCGGGCACATAAATCTTTTCGAAGGGATTAAGATATTTGATGTGGTGCAAGTGGCTAAGAAAGAAGAGAACGCCGAGGAGGAGGAAAGAAGCCGCTGCTGCAGCGAGAGCGGCGGCGAGGGAAGCGGAGGCGAGGGCGGTTGATGGGGATGATGAGAAGTACAGAATGGGATACGGGGTTGCTGGAAAGGGGGTAAAGCTCCCGTGGTACCTCGAGAGGCGCAGCGGTGAAGGCGTCGATCACGGTGACGACGGTGGGTCGGGAGAAAGTGTTGGGGATGATCGTAAGAAGAAGGCTGAGAAGAAGAGCTTGAAGGAGCTGAGGGAAGA